TAATGATTGTTTTAAATCGAGAAAACTATATCGCGATGATATCAAACAATAAAATCAACATTTCTGTCCGAAATTACAACGATCTTTTCATAAATTATCCGCATTCTCTAATAAAGCTATATACATAATATATTCAAATAATATTTTGTTATCTCCTGAGATGCTATCATCTTTTATATACAATGAGAGGTATACATGCAAACAAGACAAATTGCAAACTTTATTAACAATTATCGAAAAACTCAATAATACGCAAAATTTGTACATGTAATGAAACTTAAAAATCTTGTTGCTTTTAAAAATAATTCTTCTTCAATAAAAAGCAGACGGACATGGTCGAAGAAAACATATTTTACAAAAATAAAATAAAACTAGGGAAAAATATGTACATTGTCATTAAATAATTTTCAAGTTTTCAGCATAGCTATTTTACAATATAAGAACGTTTATATTTTAACAAATTAATAATGGCTATTTCAACAAATTAACATGGAATTACATTAAGAAGAAACTTGAGCTCTATATGCGTCATGCATGATTTAGTTTCATCAGCTTTAACAGAAGCTTACGTCGTATTCCCCAATCCATCATGATGATCGCCTTATTTAATTAAATTTCGTGGTCCCTTCGTTGATTATTGCTGCTGCTAAATATTGGTCCCTTCTTTGTTCTCTTCTTTCGTTGCTCCGTTTTCCTCATGAATCCGCTGGCGCCTTAAGCTGGTCAGGCGAATCTTATCAATTATAATTATCGACGAACGTATAATCAAATCTCTTCAGCATCTATTCTCGCTACAATAGTGACGAATTTTAAATGAATTTACTTGAATTTATCCTCAATCTATTTCTATTATGCTCAATATTTGATTTACATGCCAGTGATATTGTCTAAACTTAGACTGCGGATAAAATCAAGAGTGCAGGTCGTTCGTATGCTTCCTATCTTTAATAATAATTCTATAGAAGAAATTATAAATCTGCTTAGCTGATCATATTCTTAATTGGATCTCAATGTTAACATTACAGATAATCAACATTATGATATACTTGAGGAAGATATTAATATGCTTATTCAGATACAATTATGTTGAAAGTCAAGTAAACATGTCACTGCGATTGTCGCTAATGATCGTATTAATTAAAATGTTGCTTCGAGTTCTCACAATGACACTCCATGGCATTGACCGTGGTGGTTCCCAAATAGATCACAGGAGATTTACGGGCCATAACTACAGATTATGTGATTCATAAGATAGACGTATTGACGATAAAGAGTTTATTCGAGATGTCATCGACTCTATACCGATGGGTCAATAGAGTAACTCGTCGATTATGCAATTGACAGTATTGTCAAATCGACCTCTTCGTTGTTCATGCAAATCTAATATTTAATGTTAATTTAAAGAGAAGATAAGAGAACAACTCATATGTTAATTTATGTAGTAACGCATAATCTGTAATGATCATACGATAATTATAGTAATCAGATAAAATCGTCACTGATTCAGCGTCTTTCAGAGGTATTATATAATACCCATAATAACTATCACTATTTGTCAGAATAATGATTAGTCAATCGTCTCTAATTAAGTCGACTTTGAGACTTGCATTCAAATGTCATGTGTTATTGGTCAAGGAGACACCTGCACACTTCATCAAGGTTTTGCGTGATCTGTACAATTTTTTTATTATGTCTCGATAATAATAGGCCAATAGAATTCTTTCGTATTGCCCACTTCTACGTTATGCGTGAAATCAATAATCATTCCTTTATGTTAATTATGAGATTTACCGAATACCGTATTTCTATTGTTATAAATATTTCATGCCAATAAGATTAAATTATGTTGGATTACGATAATGGCTTAATTAGTAGGTCGTACTTGAGATTTGATGATCACTTGATCTTTCATAAAATTGCGCAGAATGACCAGATTATGCAATCTAAATGGATTTATTTTCATCAATTCACTTTTCTTTGATATGTTGAGGAGTTCGGGAACGCTGGTCATTAACGCCTTACGTTCGTGTATAATCGTTATTTATTTCTTCAGTCACGTACGTGGTTATTTATTCCTTCCCATACATCACGACGCATTATCACAATCGTGTGAGTGGGTGGTTCCTTTCGCTACTACTGAAGTCTTTAATACGTACATTGATAATGAGCTAATCGTGTTCGAAGACGCCACACCTTAGACTGCTGTGCGTTGCATTATATGTGTACAATTACAACTATTCACTTTTTCGTTCAATTATATAAAGGAGTGTTACAATGAGTAGATTTAATTATGTCACTCCGAATCCTCTGCTGCATTTCCATAAAACAAATCAACCGTGTGTAGCTATTAGTATGTTGCGTCGTATTTATACATGTTATCGCAAAGAATAACACGTTTATTATTTCGGTCGAGGCTACAATGGATCACCGAACATGTGGGCGAGTACACTTTCGTCACAAGCTCGATAACGATTGAAGGATTTCGGACTCAATATATAAACGTTTTTGAACAAACAAAATAATTAAGTAACTAATTAATGTACGGATTATTGTATAAAGAAGGCAACGAGGCACTAAATCTTGACATATTTCACACAACATGTGCTGGAACAATTATAATTTCAACTCAAATAAGATTAGATCGATTGCTCGATTCGTTGCACAAATTTTGACTCAAACTGTCGGACATTATGGGCAATTATTTCTCCGTGAATGACGATATCGAAACGAGGGCAAAGACGACGACAAGGCGGCGACGACGGCGCCCGCGCACTGGCGCCAGTACCGACGACATGAGCCAACTGAGGCAATGTTGGTATCGGTTGTTTTCCTTGCCACCCTTATATCTCCTATCGACTATCCACTATCCTTCGGTTCCTTCTCTCTCTCCCTTCTGTCGCTCCTCTCGTCAAATCTTCGCCTTTATCAGTTGATATTAAAAGCTTTTTAGTTTTTTACACACAACCTTATAAATTTAATTTTTACTTTAACTTCATTCCTTCTAGTCTTCTTTCTCAATAAACTTTTGTTCTTATCTCGTAAATTCTGATGTCAATTTTTTTTCATTAGATCAATCCTCCTATTTTATCCTACCACCTCCATTTAAAGAATTCTTTTCTCCTCCGTGCTCGTTAACTTTTACCTTCTTTTACCATTCTTTTTATAGACATTTTAAGTTATATTTAATAAATCTAATTTAAATAGTTCACAAAAAACTCTGTGTCCAGTTTATTATTCTCGTGTAATACATACGTAGCAAAATTTTTACTTGCCTTTTTACAAACAATATTCGCTATCTAACCAAAATGTCAATTCATTTTTAATATATTAAAATTTATTAAAATTTAAAAATTAAGATATTGTATCTAAAGCTTACACAAACTAACTTAAAAATGAAGCATGCAAAAATTATTTCTTTCACTAAAGAATTAAAATTATATCATATTATTATCTCAAAAGATTTAAATTATAAGTACAGCTTATTGAATTTCTGACGTATTTTACATAAAATTATTATTATAGTGTTAGAACTTGATATTTTAAATCTCCTTAATAAAAGATAGATTGGAAGACAAAAAACTTAGTATATTTTCAAATGTACAAAAATTAATTTCATATATAATATCCTGAGGAGTTAAGTAAAAAACATATTTGCGTTATATTAAACACTTTAAGTAACAAAATTGTTTAAACCTAATCATATCCACTTTCCTCTTTTTCATTTTCATTCAGTTGGAATATTACGTACAAGCAAAATTAAAATTATGTAGCAATTGCGCAGCTAAGCATTCATGTAAAAGTAAATTCTTACCTCGCGTGGAAGGGTGATTCATTAATATCGCCAAAGGACACTCGTCGTCGTCCAATATATATTCCTGATGCATATTGCCACTCACGTTCTCACTATTAACCTACATCATAAACAAGATAGTGATTTAATTTACAATATACGCTTTTAATAAAAAATATTTGATGTTTGTGTATTTATAATTTCCAGAAATAAAAAAGCTAATTAAATGATATAAAAATATATCATATTGTATAAAATATACTTTAAGATATTTGTCTGCTATATATTTAGTATTCATACAATTAACATAACTTTTTCTACAATATATTATTCTTTATCTTATTCTTTTAATTTCTATGTTTCATGTTCTATGTGCGACGAGAACCATGTTCTTGTCCATTATGCTTTGTTAAAAACTACATTAAATAAAATATATTATTATTATTATTATTATTATTATTCAACTTTCTGTTTCTTTTAACTTCATAGATACATTGCAAACTATTAATATTGTTATTATCTCATTATTGTGTGTAATTACTTTACTGTTAATTTCTTTTTTATCAATTTTAGTAATCTTCCTTTAATAATAATTATTGAATTAGTCCTTTTATAAATATGTTTTGTATATGTATAAATTAATTTTACGTAATTTTACAAATCTTTATATTTTTACATTCATCTCCGTTTTTTAAATTATACTATTTAACAAATTGAGATATCTTTTTAAAATAAAATTTTATATTTTATTTATAGTATTATTTAACACAAAATATCTAAACAATTAAGTTTCATTTATAGCATCAATTAATATATTCCGAATTGTGCTATCTTTTAGATTAAATTGAAATTAATTGAAGAAATCAATTTTTAAAATCTGCTAAATTTATCACTATATATAACAATATTTTATGCATGGATAAATTTCGCGATAATTTCGTATATACCTGCACAAGGCAATATAATTGTGGATCCACTTTTTCCAGGCCATATTTAGAAAGCATTTCTCGCACAACCTGAGCGGCGGAATCTCGCACACTCAATAGCAGTGTTTTGTATGGCACGTCTTTGCACAACGCCTCACCATAAATTTTCAATGTACCGCCTGTGTCAGGACCGCCGTCTTTACTACGAAATTGTTGAAGTCTTCTTTCAAGCTTCTGTTGGCGACGTCGTCTCATCACCGCTTCCGGATTCGAGATGCTCCTCGTAAAACTGGTCTCAGGTAATTCTAAAAATAATAATAATATCATTAATGAAAGAAAAAACATTCTTAGTTAAACAACAAGGAAGTATTTTTATTTCATTTTTGTTATTATTTTCATTATAAGACGATCGTAAATAATCAAATTGGATTGGAAATGAATTTATTGTTTAAGACAATAATAATATATTAACTTTTAACTTTATATTTTTCTGCATTTTGAAGGCGCAGCCATTAAATTGTTTTCTTTAAACACGACTCTTCGTATGCTTTCTGCAACATTGTAAACGCATCTTTTGCAGACAAACCCGTTTTGTCAAAATTTTCAAATTTTTTTCAAATTTTTTTTCTTAATAACTTTTTAATGAGTAACGAGCGCCGGTTAAAATCAATTGTAGGATGGAAGTCGCTTCGCATGGACAGTCGTAAAATATATTTTAAAGGACATTTTTATTCTATATAGTGAAAAAAAAGACATTATTTTTCAAATTTTCTTTCTTAATAACTTTTTAATGAGTAACGAGTGTCGGTTAAAATCAATTGTAGGTTATTCAGGATCACGATCTTGACAACATATGTCAAGATTAAGGTCATTGGAGGAGAGTTCCCTAATCTAGAGTATTACCATAATTTTATACAAACAGTTTGAAAATAATATTTACTGACCCGTGTAAAGCTTCTCGGCGACACCGTTCTGATCACCAGGCATCGCATTCTCATCTTGCTCTAAACTCTTTAATCGACTGAGCTTCTCCTGCTTCTTAATCTGTTTTTTTTCTCGCTTGCTCAATTTTCTTCGAAAGCTAGAACCTTCGGCTGAAGTAAAACCGACACCTTGCGCATTGGTTTTATCGTCGATCCTCTTCAGCAAGAAGCGTCCCTCCCGATCGTCCATATGCCAATTTAGTTGAACTAGTAGTGGTTTTTCTTCTAAATCAAGCTTACGCTCCTCTGCAAACAAAATTCCATATACATTCTTATTAACACAATAATAAACAATTTATTAAGACTGTAAATACACAACAAGAAAGAGTTTAATGACCATAATGGTCGAAGCTGAATCTTAGATGCTTTAAATAATTTCTATGTGAATTTATTATATATACTAAATATGTCATTTGAACTGCGCGCCAAATTGATTTTTCGGACGTATAAACGTAAATAAACTACTATAGTAATATATATATCACAAATTGAATTGACAAGCAATTTAATAATTTGATGTTCAATCAGGCACCCTATTAGAAAGATGTTAATGCAGGTATTGAAAAGCATCTAAGATCTAACTGCCGTTATGAGCATTAAACTCTTACTTGTTGTGTATATGGTCTTAATAAATCATTTATTACTGTTTATATATGAAGTCTGAAAAATGCGTTATAGTTCCTATATATCGATTATTGCAACGAATATTACTAAAGCCTTAGTAATCTAAAGGCTTAGGACGTTCTCTCTCTCTCTCTCTCTCTCTCTCTCTCTCTCTCTCTCTCTCTCTCTCTCTCATACGGAATACAAGATATCCGGGTTTAACTCCCGGTCGAGGTAATATTTTTTTTAATAAATAAATTTATTTACAGTTTTTCAGTACTTTAACATCTTTCTAATAGAGTGCCTGAATTGAGCATCAAATTATTAAATTGCTTGTCAATTCAATTTGTGATATTACTGTAGTTTATTTGTGTTTATAAGTCCAAAAAATCAATTCGGCGCGTAGTTCAAATAACTACATATTGTATATAAATTCACAGAAATTATTTGAAGCATTTAATTGTAAGTTTCGCGGCTTTTATAAACTAAACTCTTACTCGTTATTAAATTAGATTAAAATATTTTAGAGAAAATAACATAGAGAACATTTTAGAGAAAATAACAAAAAAGTTAAAATTAATTGAAGTACTTTCTCCAACTAAAAAAAATAAACATGAATTTATACATTAAATATAAATGTGTGTGCATGTATTTAAACAGCATAATTCAGTTAATAGAAATTTATAGTATATTAAATATTAATTAAAGATAAAAATATGCGATCTCTTTGGAATATATCCATATGTCCCAGAAATGTCCTAGAAATCTAGAATATTTGGAATACCATGCACAGTGCTCATATGCAGATAGAACGGATTAAACTAACAAGGAAACACTTACTTTTTGTCCCATTCGGATTTTAATCAAATTTAATACCAATGATTATCACCATTAAAGATGGAAATATGCAAAACATTTCAGAAATCTCAAATATGAAACAATGTTCCAGTGGTGTTATACACAGTGCGACAAATATGTTCCCGGACAGGGCCTGAAAATCATAATTGAAACAATAATATGCCTATTTTTTGGTTTTATTATTCAAAGTATTCTGCTCTGGCTTCAATACACTTGTTACAGCGATTCAATAGTGATTCAAATGCATGTTCCAGCTCAGTTTGCGGAATTGCCTGTAGTGCCTGTGTAGAAGCTGATTGGATGGTCGGAATGTCATCAAAAAAGCGTCCTTTCAATTTCAATTTCAATTTTGGGAATAATGAGAAGTCGCAGGGGGCCAAATCAGGTGAATACGGTGGATGGTTTAACACAGAGACACGATTTCGAGCCAAAAATTGACAGACAATCAATGAAGTGTGACTCGGTGCATTGTCATGCAACAAAGATCAATCTTCTGGATCACGATATTCGGGGCGAATACGATGAATTCTGCCCATCAATCGCTTTAAAACTTCGAGATAATATGCACCAGTAATTGTTTGGCCAGTTGGAACAAACTCTTTGTGGATAATACCTTTGCTATCAAAGAATGTGATGAGCATTGTCTTGATTTTTGATGGAACTTTTCGTACTTTTTTTGCTTGTGGTGAATTTTTTGACTTCCATTCCGCACTTTGACGCTTAGTTTCTGGATCATATTGAAAGCACCATGTTTCATCACCCGTAACAATTGATTTTAGGAAGTTTGGATTATTTGCTGCGGCTGCAACAATGTCTCTGGAATGATTGATTCTCATTGATTTTTGATCGCTTCTTAATGTGTGTGGAACAAACTTCGCACAAACCTTCGTTTTACCCAAATCTTCATGTAATATGGTTCGAATCGTTTCTCTACTGATATTTAAAGCCTCCTCCATCATTTTTAGTGACGCATTGCGATCGTTTGCAACAAAATTACGTACTTTTTCGATCATTTCGGGTGTTCGAACCAAAATTGGCCGTCCTGATTTTTTGTCATCTTCAAGGGTCTCTCTGCCTTCCAAAAAACGCTTATGCCACTCAAAAACAGCTGTACGACCTAGACATTGATTGCCGTAAATTTGTTGCATCAATCGGAATGTTTCTGATGCACTTTTACCAAGTTTTGCGTTAAATTTAATCACTGCTCTTTGTTCCATATTAAAATTTCTACCTCGACCAAAATCTTGTTTAACATGAACTGTGATATCTTCGTTATATGTCAACCAAAATGAATGAAACTTTGACAGATGATAGGGAAATGTTAAACCTTTCAAATGCATGTTTGAACGCACAGATGTTGCCACTGGTTGCTGAAATGTGGTTCGTGTCCGGGAACATATTTGTCGCACTGTGTATAATGATATAAATGAAAAGATAGAAAGCCTGATTTTGAAAAAGTATGCTTTCTATCTTCTCATTTCGATCATTATATAACATTCTATCATTATATTCGCATTCAAATTAGATATTTATAATATCGAAAATTGTAAAACTAATATTAGTTTTTTTCCGCTGTGTTGATTGCACATATTCTATTTCGACCATTCAATAATCAATCTTCATACTTAATTATTACCTTTCTTAATCTTAAAAAACATTTTCGGGTATAGCATACCTAAGCCTTTTTATTTCCAAGATTAAAACTTTTTTGTTTTTGAAAGATAGCTACCATCTCGGGTTAGAAAATAAGCTTTATAATTTTATCTTTATATTCCATTGTTTTGTGACCGGTCACTGGTGTCACCTTGTATGGAAGGCTCGTTCGCCAAGACGATGTGTAATAACGATGACTCTCTTGATTGTAATAAGTTAAATTTTATTATAGAGTTGAATTAAGATTTATTCGAAACGGGCGGTAAGCGCTGCTCGTAGTAATAATATTGCGATAATTGATGCGTTCGATTCGATGCGTGCACAGGTAATTCGCACTTGGTACGACGTTGAGTAATTTCTCGCTACCGTACGAAAGAATGCGTATTGCGAGCAATAACGAGACCGGCAAATCTCGTTGGAAACTTCGGTAATTCTCGCGCACTGAACGGTCTCGCGGTACGCGTATACCGATCACGTTATGTGACAAAAGGCACCGGTGATACGCGACGACAAGTCCATTGATTCGCACTTAATATTCGCGAAGATATAAAGAGCGATATGTGATGTATATTGATCGGGATCGGGTGGCGAACTCACCATTCTCACATGGAGCGTGTGCGCAATCGACAGTTTTCGGGATTTGTGCAAGGAGGATCGCGTGCCATTTGAGACAAACAGCATGATTAGCACAGGAGCGAGGTATGCTCGTGTTTTGACGGCTCGGTGTCGATGAGTTATTTGTCTTCTCCGAGAATATGAAAAGTAACGATAATTCCGGAACATCCATAAAACTTTAGATAATTTGCGACGAGGATTTCAAGAAATATCAGGCATTGAAAATTGGCATGAATATCATATATCTATCCAAGTGTGGCATTTAAGATAGTTCTTTTACTGATGTATATCATAATATATTTTTGTTTCAATGGTCTTGACCTTGATAAATGTTATCCAGATCCATTATGATCTTGAAAAACATTCAAGAGATATTAGCCATTAGCCGGATACTTCAGATAATGCTAATACCGTCAATGCTATAACTTGCAAAGTATTTATAACTCGAAAAGTACTGAATAAAAAAATATTTCATATATAGTGTTTTGAAAAGCTCTCGAGATAAGCTATACGAACATGTAATAAAAAGTAGAAGGTTCCATTAAAAAAATTCAAAGTAATCTTACCCTGATCTTAACAATGTCATTCAAGGCCAAACCAATAACACTATCTTATGTCCCCCTCAAAGACAAAAAACTTTTGTCTGAAACATTTTTCGATCTAACACAGTGTTCCCAAAATATTTCAATAGATCCTTTAAAACGGGACAGCGTGCATGCATGCGTGCGTGCGTGCGTGCGTGCGTGCGTGCG